GGGCAGTTCTGTTTGTGACGATATATATATATATTCTTGTTTTTCTTTTTTTTGTATTTGCGCTCTGATATTCATGTGACAATATATATATTGTCACACTGTAAATCAGAGCGCGAAGGCGGAAAAAAGCAAAACAAGGAAAGGAAAAGAAGGAAGGAATGAGCCCCACCTGTTCATCACCTCTTACGTACAAGGCCAGCCACGTGGATGACAGGTTGAGCGCTGGCTGCCCCCATCCATCCCCGTGTGTCACAAGGACCCACTTGCACGCAGCCAAAAGGCAAAAAAAAGAGGTAAAGAAAAGGAGGAGGAGGAAACCAGAGCTGACAGGGAAAAAAAGAAAGCCTATCAGTCAAACAAAGCAAATGACAATGACAAATCCCACAGACACAGATAATCCAATAGCCACAAAGCAAATAACACATCCCTCAGATCAACACTTCTTTTTCTTCTTCCTTTTTTTTCTTTTTTTTCTTTAACTCCGTATCTATCGGTATTGTCGAAGGCTTTATCTGGCCCCACCTCAGCAGATAGGACAGCTACGGTGAGGATGAGGATGTAGATGTTCACAAGGATACCCAAGGAGAGCTGCGCCAGCACAGCATTCACCACGACGCCTAGCACGAACCATCCCATCCCATGAAAACAATCCTGACAGAGGACATGATGTCCACATGTCAAAAAAACAGCAGGACGTTCATCACAGTGCGGCATCATGCAGTTCTGATAGCGTCCTTGGGCTCAAAAGGGACAACGTATATCTGGGTGATAGGAATGTGTACAAGAGGATATTTATGTTGGACACCCTTCAGAGACGGCTGCAGTCGCAATAGATTGATAATGGCTATGTCATAGATGACGCATTCTATATATATATATAGACGATATATATCGTCACAAACAGAACTGCCCGGTAAACCGTAGGCAGAGAGAGGAAAAGGACAACAAACGTAGGCTGTGTCAAACTGTTTCGTCGGAGTTTCACCGACTCATCAGGAGGCCGAACCCTCAACAGTCTGCAGAATCCCCTCACTGATTACACTGTAAATGATAATCTACCTTAACCAAAATCAAAGTCGATATATATATATAGTCATCGGTTTTTCTTTTGTTGTTCGGCCTATGAGAGAATGAATGGTTTTAGGAATGGGAATACCCACGTCTGGATGACGAATAAGTTCTTTTAATATCTTCTTCCTTACAACTCCCCCTGTTCAGAACCTCTTGCGTACAAGGCCGCCCACGTGGATGTAGGTTGAGCGGCGGCTGCCCCCACCCCCGTGTGTCATATCGACCCACTTGCACACAGCCAAAAGGCAAAGAGGCAAAGAAGAGAGGAAGGGAACAGCCAAATAAAACAGAACAGGGGGCAACAAAACAGAGATGTCAAAACATTCTTGTCTGCAAAAAAAAATCAAAAACAGCTCCGATCCCAGTGTGACAACCAAAGAGAAAGAAAAGACAATCCCGGATGACGATTCCCACATACAAGCACCGTCCCGCGCTCAAAAGGCCGCACAACGGGAAACAACCAACCAGGATGCCCAACAACAAAATCGAAGCAGACAAGATTAAAACAAATCCTAAATGACAATCCTAGATGACAAGTCCCACACGTTGTGAGTCCTTATCTACCAGCCAAATGCATCCTGGCCGCGCAGTCTGCCCAGGTTCAACCTCTTGATGAGTACGTGCAAGTCCGAGGAGACAGTGTGGCACGTTCATGCTTTTCTTTTTGTGGACTGTGTATAGCCAACATGACGACACACAGAGAGAGAGAGAGAGAGAGAGAGAGAGAGAGAGAGAGAGAGAGAGAGAGAGAGAGAGAGAGAGAGTGGCACGTTCATGCTTTTCTTTTAGTGGAGTTTGTATAGCCAACATGACGACACAGAGAGAGAGAGAGAGAGAGAGAGAGAGAGAGAGAGAGAGAGAGAGAGAGAGAGAGAAGCGCTTAGCATAGCTCGCCGTTGTGAATCATAAGTGCGTTGAACTTATCTCGGTGAATACTTGTCTCCGTGAATCCTTATCTCAGTGAATTCTTCCCTCCCCACCGTCTTTCCTGGAATAGAGCGCCCTGTCATTATCGCCGTATCTAGACTGGATAGTGGCCCAAATACAGACAAATTGACCCTGCGTCCTATTCGGGGCGACCATGGTTTTAGTAAGTCTCTGGCCTCCCGGGTCACAGTCACACTACGTTAGGTCAGGCCAATCTATAAAAAAAAAAAAAAAAAAACCAGCTCTTGGCCGTTGATGATCTCTCTTTTATCTTTTTTTTTTCTTTTTTTCTTGTCGTTCGTTTTTTTAAAATAAAAACTCAGGATTTGTGTGGGCATGGTCGACCCTCTCTATGTCGACCCGTAGGGCGCGGACCCATGCTATCGGTTCTTCACCCAAATAGAACGCCACGTGATCCTTATCTCTGTACCCAGCGCAACTTTCAATCTAGATGCAGAGTTGATGATTCACCCAAATAGAACGCCACGTGATCCTTATCTCTGTACCAAGGGCAACTTTCGGTCTAGATACAGAGTTGATGATTCACCCAAATAGAACGCCACGTGATCCTTATCGACCCAGGGCAAATTTCAGTCCAGAAACAGAGTTGATGACCAATGGCCGTGCATCTTCGTCATCGCCATCCCGATCCCGATGACGAAAGAGGAGACCTTTTTTTTCCTTTCTCTTTTTCTCTTTTCCTCGCGTGTTCGATTCTTGAAGATCGGATCACGGACGAAAATGAAAATTCAAAATTCCCTTTTTCTCTTTTCTCTTTTGTCTTTTTTTTTTTTCCCTTTAGTCCTTTTTTTCAAGGCTACCAGAGTGGCCCGGGTCCACTTGCCCGGCCGGGCCAAAAAGAAAGAAACAAATAAAAAATATATATATAATACTGTTTAATACTGTTTTTTATTTTAATTTTTATTTTAATTTTTATTTTAAATTTGGTAAAGAATTTCAATGTGACCCTGAGGCAAAAGTTGTTCAGTTAATTTTTCTGCATATCACAGTTTTCTTTCGGAGTTTTTGGTTTTTTTTTTTTCTTTTGGCTGGGACCTTCCCTGGTCCTTGCACGGCCTGGCCGCCCGGGAAAGTAGGGTGACCCGGGCGCCCGGCTGGTAGCCAAGCGTTTTTTTTTTTTTTTTTTTCCTTCTTTTTTAATTCACTAACAAAACTTCCATCTTCTTTTGTCCAATGCCCATGGCCGAGCAGACAAAACCACGCATCCCGGTTCATCGCCATCCAGCCATAGCCATCCCACCATCCACTTCTCTGCCAGGGAACTCGTTGATAGCCATAATCCTATACCAGTCTGTTGCTGTGCGTGATTGCTACCTAGATGCGGCTACTGTTTTTTCATTCCAACCACTTCCCCCTTCACATTCACACAAAAAATATCCATGCGTACACCATCATGATGATGCTTGGTGTTCTACCAGCTAGCGATAACCCCCCATGGGCCTCACGTAGTTTTGTCATTCAATCACCCACTTATTATTGCAGAAAATTGGCCTCACGCAGTGGGGTTTTTTTTTGTTTTTTTTTTCCATTGGCCTCCCCAGCCCTCAAGTGCATGCCTGGGCATGCTCGGTGTTCTACCCGCACGACATAACACGTTGGCCCCCCAAGCCAGCGTTGGCAGGACCTTGGCCACAACGTTTTTTTTTTGTTTTTTTTTTTTTTTTGGCCAAAATTGTTGGTTGCTATGCAGCAATGATTCTCATTATTTTTACTAATATTTTCTGTTTTTATTATTTATTTTATTTTATTTTTTTGGCCATTAGACACCACTAATGTGGGGTTGTAGGGGGTTAGGGGGAGGTGCAAATGACTGGCCAAAGATGGTCGGCACTAGGATCGCATCTGCACTACCGGCAGCATGGCCGTTTCCACCGTCTGCAATGCCTCGTCACCCTGCATCATCGTGATGAGGGCCTGATGAGGGCCTTTTTTTTTTTTTTTTTTTTTTTTACTTCCTCCCTTCCTTCCTTCTTCGTTCTCGTCGTCCTCTTTGGCTTTGAGTGTTCACACTTGGCGATTGTCATTGCATGGAGATTTCCTTTGCTTTCTCTACTGCTGATGAGGGCTGACGAGGGCCTGATGAGGGGCTGATAAGGGGGCTGGATGAGGGGGCTGATGAGGGCGCTGAGGGGCTGATACAAGGCTTGCGCTCGCACCACAGCACCACTGCAGTGGTGCCAACCTACCCCGTGGGACAACTGCTGTGGTGCCAACCTACCCCGTGGGACCACCCATGGGCTGGGGAGAGTTCCACGTTCCAGGTTCCAGGCTCCAGGTTCCAGGTTTGGGAGGTGGTCCCACGAACTATACATAAGAGGTAGAAAGAGGATGAGATAGATGAGATAGGTGTGGAATAATGTACATAGATAGATTGAGAGAGAAGAATATAGATTACTCTAAAAAAAAAAAAAACATAGCTCTCCACGTCGACGTCGCGTACGACCTTACTATTACGAACAAAAAAGGAAAGGGAAGAAAAAAAGCTGACCAGCGTTCTAGTCACCGTCGAGGTCGCGTACAATCATTGTATTTCAATTTTAAGAGTCAAAAAACAAAGAATAAAACCTGAGTAGCGATCTCTAGCTTTTGTATTAAAAACAAAAAGGGGAAAAACGAGTTAAAAAAAAAAACAATACAAAAAGGTGGTTTGGGGGAGAGGGGCGGGGAAGGGGAGGATCTGTACACCGTCGACGTCGCCGACATTCTTACTTCCGTCTATTACAAAATAATAATAATAATAATGATAATAACAATAATTAAAACAAAAAAAAAAAAACCTGACTAGAGACCTCTTCACCGTCGAGGTCGCACAGAATGTCGAGCAATAATAATAATAATAATAATAAATCATTAAAAAAAAACATACCTGACTAGACACCTCTTCACCATCGAGGTCGCGCAGAATGTCCAGGAACAGCTCGAGCAATAGTAATAATAATAATAATAATAACAATAATAATAATAATAATAACAAAACATACCTGACTCGAGACCTCTTCACCGTCGAGGTCGCGCAGAATGTCCAGGAACAGCTCGAGCAACAGAGTTTCGTCTTTAAACACCGAATCGTCTTCATACACTTGCGGAATAAAACTTTTGGCCTTCTGGTCCTTCAGAAGTGGGAAAATATTGGTATCTGCCTTGATGGTGGGACCAGTGGGATGGGGCCAAGTCTCAATGGTCACGCCATTGCCCACCTTGGAGTCGATCGCTGCTAGATCGACGAGGGACGCCATAGCCAGCGATAGCCTCTGCTGTCTTCGCCCTCTCCACAGGAAGCTACATCATCAAAACGAACAAGGAGAAGAAGAAGGTGAGATTGCGCACGAAACCGAGAGCTGCTATTATTATTATTATCATTATTAAAAAAAAAAAAAAGCATTCATTATTTACAAGATGTTTGGAATGTGGCCCAATTTAGTTCCTTCACACAGCAGCAGCAGCAGATGGCTCTCGATTATTTGCACGGGCTCCTTTTTTTTTTTTCTTTTTTTTTCTTTCTGGGTCGCCGTCGTAGCGGCGAGTCAAAAATTGAGGGAAACTGCTTTTTCTTTTTCCTTTTTTTTTTTGTTAGTGTGTGTGTGACCAGCCCACGGTTTTCTTAAGTAAGAGGCGAAAGAATAGTGCGCCATTTTACACCGGCTCCTTTCGTCTTTCCTTTCCTGTAGGTTTTTTTTTTTTTTTTTTTTGGAATTCTATAGGTTTTTAATTTAACTGAGACCAGCCACACATTCAGGAGAAACAGACAGACAGACAGACAGACAGACAAGCAAACTCTCTCTCACACCCACCCACAGACACACAGAGAGAGAGAGAGAGAGAGAGAGAGAGAGAGAGAGAGAGAGAGAGAGAGAGAGAGAGAGAGAGAGAGAGAGAGAGAGAGAGNAGAGAGAGAGAGAGAGAGAGAGAGAGAGAGAGAGAGAGAGAGAGAGAGAGAGAGAGAGAGAGAGAGAGAGAGAAAGGGAGAGAGAGAGAGAGAGATGATTAATTACTACGACCTTCTTATTTTATGTTATACTCAAGAAGATGTACATCATTTATAATTTCCATTTGCTTATTCTTTCTTGACAGTAATGGCTATTTACTTAGCAACTTGGGTAGTACCATCTGATTTTCAACAAGGTGAAAATTATCGTATCATCTATGTACATGTGCCTGC